TTGTGGGTTCGATTCCCACGGGGGGCCAGCATGAAAAAAATAAAAAAAATGTATGCACTCACTAACTGTAAGTCGCTCTGGATAAGAGCGTCTGCTAAATATGTAAAATGTATGTGTTAGTACTGTTCTTTCTGTAGATATAGTAAGTAGAGAACATTATAGTAACGTATCAGAGGACGTTAAAGCAATGTACTCCTTCACACGCCAGTGGGCTGAGAAGGATGTTATACCTTTGTGTGTGTGTGCCATTCTCAGCATTATGTTGGAGTGGGTATTGGAGCGTGACTGTATTCATAATTACAGTACTCTATATGAATGATTCAGTAAGGCTAGCAGACCCACATCGGTGAGTTACTTTATTAACATAGAGAAACAGGGACAGCTTCAGGTTGACACAATAGATCTGTCCTCTTGTTTTATAGGAAGTTCCCTGCAAAGCAATATTCCTTTATGGATGAAGCAGCGTACCTTTTGGAATGTCGGATTATTATGCAAATACTATTATCTCAGAATCTCAATGCATTTCTATGGTAAATTGTATTTTGCTGCCATATTGATTTTGATTTGACTTACTGTCAGACCACAACACTATACACTATGAAAGGGACTGGCCATTCACATAGCCAAGCGCCATAGCAATGCACATAACAACGTAGCAACAAGACCCTCTGGACACCGTTTTTTCCCACCCGATTGGCATTCTAATATCAAAAGTCTCCATTTATAATTTGACGCTGTGATGACATTATATCAACCTATGACTTGATGTGGAGGGAGAATGAAGGGATACGTGGGATACGTACTTCTCTGTCTCTACAATGAGACCATACAGGATCTTGGCTTCTACAAAGGCTGACAATCACATCAGGCAGGAGATGTAGCACCAGGATTAAAAATGCATTCAACCTTCCTGTAGTCTAATTGAGTTACCTCCTTCTCCTATCCTCTCCTCCCCCTCCCACCTGCCACTTCCTCATCGCTGCCACTTCTTCATCCCGTCTCTCCTTTTATCCCTTCCTCCCTCACCCTGACTGAAACGTATAGAACTCAACTGTTTCTGAACTTGAAAATGTGGGCTATATGATAAATTATCACAAACTAGGGTAGGTTGTGTGTGTGCGTGTGTGTGTGTGTGTGTGTGTGCATGTGTGCGTGTGTATGCGTGTGTGTCTGATCGCTTCTCTCTCTACATAACCGTTCTGTGATATAGACCAAATAAAGATACAAAATCACACACACACACACAGGAGGATGACAAAGAGAGCAGAGCAGTGGCCTCCTAGTCCCCTGTGGTGAAGTCATTATGATGGGTTAAGCCCTCATGGAGGGATCTGGGTTCTCCCTCTCGCGCACACATACA